GGTCCAGGCACAAACAAGTGGCTCTGTACAGAGTGGGCCAGATTGTGTAATGCCTCAGTTCAGCACTCTCCAGTGGGTTTCCTCTCATTTCATTCAGAGGAAGTGAAAGCCAGAGTCCCTTCAGTGGCTTCAGCAGCGCTCTGTGATTTACTTCACCTTATTTGGAGCATTTTGACTTTATCTTCAACTCCTGTACTTTTTGTTCTGCTCTATCCATGTTGGGAAAATTCCAGGTACACACTCATTGCGGGTTTTTTTTAGTAGCTGTTCCCTCTCCTTGGACTATGCTTCCTCAAAATATCTTCATAGCTTATTTCAGCACTTACTTCCGCATCTCCTATTTAAATTTTCTGTGCCTATCTTGTTGGTATACACGATCTACTTTCCCTGATTTATTTTCTCTACATGCTTATTTCCATTTTTCATATTACATATGTTACGTTTGATTAGTATTGATTTTGGGAGGGAGAGCTCACTGTGTGCCTCTGTTATTGGCAGTTGGGACCTTCAGCAGCAACAGTATTCAGTCAACTTTGGAGAGCTTCTGTTGGGCTTGCATAACTTTTGTTCTAGCCACCACAACTATTTTATTTAAAAACCTATTGCTTAGAAACATTGAGGTGGATGATAGCAGAAACTAGCCAATATCAACTGAACTGACTAGATCAGTTTGCATACTTGTTCATTGGTTCTTTTGAGGTTGGTGGTCTCTAGAATTAATGTGTGGTACAATGAGCTTTACATTTGGTGTCCACTTTCATATGTCTGTCCATCTGCATCTTCTCCACATCTCAATCTCGATATCCTGATCTTTTACAGGGATTAACTTTCATCTTCTGGAGAGCTTGCCACAGTATTTGCTACTTACTGTTCTCCTGATTCAATTAAATTGAAGCAATCAAGTTCTGGGTCAATGTGAATTTCTTTGTATTGTCCAAATGGTTCAAGTCCCTTTGGACTGTATTAAGACTAAGAGCAAAAGAATTAAAACAGGCCATGTTCAAGGACAAAGTGTATTCTGTTGTCAGTTGTATGTAACTGTGGACTGCTTTTGGTCCTCTACAGAGGAAAAACATATTACCAGATCAGTTATATAACACTTACCTGTTAGAGAACAATAACTGTCTTTATATCCTATCAAAGAGACTTCTTGGCTTTTACTCTATAGTCTTTAATTGGTTATTTATTGTCTTTAGCCTTTCCTTTTTTTCCCCAATGCCTTGGCCACTCCTAGCAACAGCTACCCAATTCCTAGACCTTATAATAATTAATTACTTCTCTGTATTTCTCAAATTCCTGAAATACTGCAGTTGCCACGCTTTCTCTTTCACTAACAAAAACTTTAGCAGTTGCAGTTGCAGTGCTATAGCATGTTAGGGCCTGTGTAACACCACCAGTGATGGGGTCCTTATTGCTAGCTAGTCAATGCTTGATATGGCTTAACAATTTCATTTTGGAATTGACTTCATAGGACCACTTTTGGTACCAACTCTCTTGAGTCAGGTTCCCCCAAAAAATACAGTTTGAAAATTTAAGATTTCCTTGTAAGAAGTTTGTTGGATAATGCTTCTGGGGTCAACCTTTGTGAAAGAGAATCCAAGGGATAGAGCATTAGGAAGTTGGAGAAATTAAATTGTTAACTCTTGTAGCAGCAGCCTCAACTGATTCTACAGGGAGATCTGAAACTGGAATAACCCTTCTAAGGTATCCCAGATTAAAGTGCAAAGCTGGACCATTTTACGCCCATTGGATCATTGACATTGAATATAGGCTGCTTTGCATGATATCAGAGCCTTGGGCGGTATAGTTCTCAGGTAAATTCCTGGGGTTCAGCTGTTAGCCATCGGCAGAAAACCTCCTGGAAGCTGTAGGACTGAGTATTTCAGTTCTGAAGGGAGAGCTCTGGGTGGCACACCACAGTTCACTACAGGCACGATGGCAAGATCACTTTCCGTGGAGTGGTGAGGGTGGAAAGGATTCTGTAGTGCTGGAGGAATAAGAAGAGAGTCAAAAACATTTTATTAACATGAAGGGAAGGAGAGAAGGTTGAACTTCCTGAGGAAACTGGGAGCAATAGGATCCAGGATTTAGGTAGTATGACTTACCTTGTGTAAGCAGAGTTTAATCTTTACCATTATAATCGAAGAGAAGGAGGAAAATAGTAGTTCAGGTGCAGAAAAGTTTATAACCTTAATGAGAGGAAGTTGAGGTTGTTCATACTTGTTTCCTCTGGAAAAGAGCCCAGAGATCCAACAGCTAAAAAAGAGAGTTGGTTGAGTTGGAAAGATGTAAAGTAAGTTGAGGTTTTAATAAATTGCTGTGAAGAGTGGGGAGAGACCCGTAACAGAATAGTCAGTGCATATCCAGGGCCCATTTGAGGTTGATATTCCTGATTTTGTAGAAATACCGGTTTTTGTAGTTGTGTAATTTTTTTTTTCTGGCAGAGCTTAATGCAGTGAAAATATACATTGAGTCCCCAACTTAACGAACATTCGAGTTGCAAACTTTCACAGATACGGACAGACTTCGTGTTGCGAACATTCCTAGATGTGAACAAATCGTGGAAGTAGCTCATGTGTTTGCCAGACATTGTCACAGTTGTGCTGCTGTGTGTCTATTGTGTGTATAGTGTACAGTATTTCAGTGCTCAATCAGAGCTGAGGATGTCTGAAAGAGGAAAAGAGTGGTGATGTGGAGGGGCCTGTTAGGAAGCACAAAGCAATAGCAATGGAAACAAAAGTGAAAATAATTGAAAGATTGGACCAAGAAGAAAAGGTAGGAGACCATGCTCATCCTTATAGCATGAATTGTTCAACCGTTGGCACAATTCTAAAGAAGGACAAGATCATGGAACATGTCAAGTCTGCTGTGCCAATGAAGTCAACAATAATATCCAAAAAGCATGGTACAGTGATAGAGGAGATGGAGAAACTTCTCAATGTGTGGATGCAGAGTCAGAGTCAGTGTCACCGTCAAATCGTACATTAAAAATAAAGCTAAAAGCTTATTTGAAGACTTGAAGGAAAAATGGGGTAAACAGAGTACATCTTTTACTGCCACCCATGGGTGGTGTAACATATTCAAGGCTAGAGCCACACCAGAAAGTACAATAATAAAAGTACAGTACTACCTCAGTTCACAAACACTTCTATTTGCAAACAATTCAGTTTGTAAACAAAAGTATTCAGCAAAATTTTGCTTCCTTTCTCAAATTCCACATTGGGTGACAAATACAATCATGGCCATTTCCCCACACAAACACAAACACAGCCATCTTCCCCCAAATCATAAAACAAATTCATAAGCTGAGGCACTACTGTAAGTGGTGAGACTGTGACTGCAGATAATATAGTTGCCCCAAAATTTCCAGCAACACTTAGAGAAATTATTGAAGAAGCTTTTTATTTACCCCAACAGGTTTTGATCATCAGTGAGACATTCTGGACTGGAAGAGGATGCCAGAATCCAATTACATCAGTAAAGAGGAAAAGGTGTAGCCATGCTTCAAAGCAGCAAAGGACAGGCTTGCTCTGTTGTTTGGTGGCAATACTTCTGGAGATATGACACTAAAGCTTCTCTTAGTTTACCATTCAGAGAGCCCTCAGAAACATAGCCAAGAGTTCTCTACCTATTGTATGGAAGAGTAACTCCAAAGCCTGGGTGTTACAAAGGCTGTTTTTTAAGGACTGATTTTTCCACTACTTTATCCCAGAGATAGAGACATATTATTTGGAGAAAGATAGCCCATTCAGCATTCTTTTGCTGCTTGACAGTAAACCAGGTCATCCCCAAGTCATGGATGACTTTCATCCCAATGTCAAAGTGCTGGATCTGCCACCAAATGTTATGGTGCTCATCCAACCTATGGACCAAGGAGTTATTGTGACTTTCAAGAAATATTATTTATGTCACACTTGTTGTCAGACAGTGAACACAACTGATGAAACAGGAACAACTTTGCAACAATTTTGGAAGGACTATAATATCTACAAGACTATAAAAAACATCAACTTTGCTTGGCATGAGATTTTGGCTATCACTATGAATGGGGTTTGGAAGAACCTTTGCCCACAGTTTATTCATGAAATTCATGGACTTGAGAAGATGGATAAGGAGTCCAAAAACGTCTTCAACAACCTAATGACCTGTAGTAAGAAGCTGGAGCTAGTTCTGCAAGAGGATGACTTCATTGAATTCCTTGCTGTGCAACGCGAGAAGCTTCTTTTTTTTTTTGGTACTGGGGGCTGAACTCGGGTCCTTGCACTTGGAGACAGGTGACGGAACCACTGAGCTAAATCCCTGGCCCAAGAAGCTTCTTAATAACCTGGTGGAGTTAGAGGCCCAGTGAAAAGATGAGAGCCAAGAGGAAGATGTAACTGAAGAACCAAAGAGATTCATAACATAGGAAATGGCAAGGGGATTTTCTTTACTTGAAGAGGCAGTTTTTGAGGTACAGGACCCCAGTGTAGAATGATACACAAAGATTGCGGCAGCCCTTCAGAATGGCACCCAGTGCTACAGAGTCGTCTATGATGAGAAAAAAAGAGCTACTACTCAGACATCACTGGATCATTTTTTTCAAGAATTAAATCCATCAAAAAACCTGTGTCATCAACATCAGGTGTGACCGAAATTCCATCTTGCCCTCCATCTCCTATTGCTGATGATCCTTCAGCTCCACCATTTTCCACCCACCCTCCCTCCTCCAGTTAGTAACTCTCTTCTTGTCAGGTTACTCCATGCAGTCCCCTATCTGTGAATTGTGGTACCATTTTAAGGTAACTGTAAAAGTAAAAATAGTTTATTTACAACATTTGTGTATTTTTAATGCTTTACATTGTATATATGTGTCAAAGGTGTATAAGACTGACTTTTTCAGACTTACAAATGAATCCAATTTATGAACGCTCTCCTGGAACAGAATGCCTTTGTAAGTTGAGGACTTACTGTAAACAATATACTCAGTGTCTCACTAGATTATTTTCTTTTTCTTTGCATAGCCATCAGATCAAGTCATTACAGTACAGTAACACGGGAGATATGATTCTTGTTGTATCTGGAAGCTCACAGGCCAAGGTGATTGACAGAGATGGTTTTGAAGTAATGGAATGTATAAAGGGAGACCAGTATATTGTAGACATGGCCAACACCAAGGTAAGCTTTAAAAGAACATTTTAATGAATCCAATTGGGTGCGTGCTTATTAGCAACTTGAGTTATGTAATGATTCATTCTCAAAGTAAGTATCTGAAAGCAATAACAATTGATTATTTCTTACAATTATATGGGTTGATTGAAGGTTCTTTGGCTTCAGATAGTGTCAGGTGGGAAGTAGAATTTATAACAGGTGGGTCACTAAGATGGATATAAGGTCCAGATTGGCCTCCCTCAGATGGTTACAGTGAGAGCATATCCTGTGGCATCTCTTGCTCTTTGCCTCCTCTCTACCCTCAAACTGTCCTTCTTTTGTGTTTGAAAGCTCTCTCTCTTGCTCTTGTTCTCAGTCTTGATTTCACTCTTTCTTTCCACTTGTCTAGTTTAGGCCTTCTCAGAGTGTGGTGGTCTTAATGGAATTTAGCTTTTTGTTTTATTGAAGCAATATATTTATTGATACAATTTAGATATACATAATGATAGGATTCCTCATAGGGAATTTACACGTGTACATGATATATCTTGCTTATTCTTTTTCCCATCCTCTCTTCCGTTCAATCCATCTACCCTTCCTTATTTATAAAATGTTTGTTTCCATTTTTCCTTCTATTCTCTTCTTTTCTTGTCCCTTCATTTCTTTCCCCCTCCCTCCTTCCTTGCTCCCCTTTTCATTTGAACATTTTCTTCCCATTTCCCAATATTTATTATATATTTTGGTCCTTATTTACACTTTTGGTTTCTCACACCAGCGAAGCAATGCAGTATTTAAACATGTGTGTCTGATATATGTCATTAAAAGTATGGTTTCTAAGTACAATCATTTAGCTAGAAATGTCTCAAGTGTATCCTTCATGGCAGAGTAGTACTCCATTGTATAAAACACCCCCACATCTTTATCCATTCATCCGTTGTTGGGCTTTTGGGCTGTACCCAAGATTTAGCTATTATAAACCGTGCCACTATAAACATGGGTGTGCATATAATACTATGGTATGATGCTTTTAATTCTTTCTGGAAGATACCAGAAAGGGGACTAGCTTAGTCAAATGAAAACTCTAGTTTAAGTTTTTTGAGGAATCTACACACTGATATCCACAGTGCTTGCACCAGTCTACACTCCTACCTATAGTGGAGAAGAGCTCCTTTTTCTCCACAACCCTACCAGCATTTGTTATTGGTTGATTTCTTGATAATCGCCATTCTTTCTGGAGTTAGATGGAATCTCAGCCTTGTTTTCATTTGCATCTCTGGAATGACCAGTGATGTTGAATATTTTTTCATACGTTTATTGGCCATTTCTACTTCTGCTTCTGGGAAATATCTATTCATTTCAGGTGCCCATTTTTGGATTGGGTCTTTAAATTTGAGGGGTCTGATTTTTTGTTCTAAATGTATTCTAGATATTAGTCCTTAGTCTGAGGAACAGCCAGCAAAAATTTTTTCTTACACCATGGGCTGTCTCTTCACTCTTTTGCTGTGCAAAAGCTTTTTAATAAGATGAGATCCCAGTTGTTGATTTTTTGTGTTATTTCCTGTGTGATCGGGGATTTGTTCATAAAGTTTTAGCCTGCACCAATGTCTTCAAGAGTTCTACCTATTCTATCTCACAACATATTTAGTGTTTCTGTTTTAATATTTAGATCTTTGATCTATTTTGATTTTAATTTAGTGCATGGTAAAAGATATGGGTTTCTAGTTTTAATCTTAGGCATGTGCAAAGCTAGATTTTCCCAACACTATTTATTGAAGAGGCTATCTTTCTTCCAGTGAAGGTGTTTGGCTCCTTTGTCAAAGACAAGGTGGCTGAGTATGGTTGAAGTTGTTTCTGCATCTCCAGATCTGTTCCACTGATTCTCAGGTCTGTTTTTTTGTTTTTGTTTTTGTTTTTTACCCCAGTACCATGGTGTTTTTAACACAGTAGGTTTGTAGTATAATTTCAAGTCTGGGATTGTGATGCTCCCTGCCTTGCCTTTGTTGCCCAGAATTGCTTTTGATATTCTAGGTTTCTTGTGGTTCCAAATGAATTTTAAGATTCTTTTCTCTAATTCTGTGAGATATATTAATAGTATTTTGATCAGGAGTGCATTAAATCTGTGTAACAATTTTGAAAGTATGGCCATTTTCATTATATTGTAGCTTCCTATCCAAGAAGTAGGGATACCTATTTTCTGTATCCTTTTCAACCTCTTTTTTCAGAGTACTGTAGTTTTCCCTATAAAGGTCTTTCTTTTACTTCCTTTGTCAGATTGATTTCCTAAGTATTTCATTTTTCAGATGTTATTGTGAAAGGTATTTTTCCTCAATTTCTCTCTCAGTGAGTTTGTTATTTGTGTACAGGAATGCTATTGATTTTTGAATGTTGACTTTGTATCCAGCTACACTACTGAATTTGGTTATTAAATCTAGAAGTGTTTTGGTGGGATTTTTAGAGTCTTCTGTATAGAGTATCATATCATTCACAAATAAAGATAATTTAACTTCCTCCTTTTCTATCCTTATTCCTTGTATTTCTTTTTTTTTGTCTAATTGCTGTGGCTAACATTTCCAGAACTATATTGCATAAGAGTGGTGACAGTAGACATCCTTGTCTTGTTCCCGATTTTAGAGGGAAAGATTTCAGTTATTTTGTCCATTTAGTATGATGTTGGCTGTTGGATTCTCATAGATGGCTTTCATCAGATTGAGATAAAGACCATCTATTCCAGTTTTCTGTAGGGCTTTTATCATGAATGAGTGTTCGACTTTGTCAGACACTTTTTCTGCATCTGTTGAGATGATTATATGGTTTTTTTCTTTGGCTCTGTAATATGGTGTTTTACATTCATTGATTTTCATATGCTGACCATCCCTGCATTCCTAAGTTGAATCCTACTTTGTCATGGTGTATAACCTCGTTGATGATTTGCTGCTTTTTGTTTGCTAGCATCTTATTGAGGATTTTTGTGTTTATGTTCATTAGGGAGGTTGATCTGTAGTTCTCTCTTTTGGTTAGATCCTTCTCTGGTTTTGGTATCAGGGTAATGCTTTACTTCCAGAAATGAATTTGAGAGTATTGCTTCCCTTTCAATTTCATTAAAAAGTTTGAGAAGTAGCAATTAGGTCTTCTCTAAATTTTTTTTGTAGAATTCAGTAGAGAATCTGTCAGGGCCTGGACTTTTCTTTGTTGATAGATTTTTAATTACACCTTCAATTTCATTGACTGATATTGGTTTATTTAGAATTTTTATATCTTCTTGATTCAGCTTTGCTAGTTCATATGTACCTAGAAATCTGTGCATTTCTTCTGTGTTTTTCATCTTATTAGAACACTTGTTCTTGAAGTAGATATTGATGATCTATATTTCTGCAAGGTCTGTTGTGATTTCATCTTTTTCATTCCTAATTGCATACATTTGAGGTTTTTTTTTCTTTTTTCTTTCTTTTTTTTTTTTTTTTGCTAAGTTTGTTTAAGTGATTGTCAATTTTGTTTAATCTTTCAAAGAGCCAACTCTTTGTTATTATTATTATTTTTGGTACTGGGGATTGAACTCTGGACCTTGCGCTTGTGAGGCAGGCGGTAGAACCACTGAGCTAAATCCCTGGCCCCAAGAGCCAACTCTTTGATTCATTGATTCTTTATATTGTTTTCTTAGTCTTCATTGCATCAGTTTCTGCTGTGATCTTTATAATTTCCTTCCTCATATGAGCTTTGCACTTGACTTGCTCTTCTTTTTCTAGAAACTTGAGGTTCAACATTAGGTTATTTATTTGAGCTCACTCTGTTTTTCTGATATGAGAAATCACCACTATAAATTCCTCTCATAGAACTGCTTTCATTGTGTTCTATAAGTTTCGGTGTTTTGTATTGGCACTATCATTTAGTTGTAGAAACTATCTATTGTCTTCTTTAATTTCATCTATGACCCATTGCTTGTTCAGAAGGGTGTTATTAATTTCCATGTGTTCTCTATGAAGTTCTTGTGGGGTTTTTTTTACATTGATTTCCAATTTCATTGCACTATGGTCCAACAATATGCATGGGATAATTTCAATTCCTTTGCATTTACTTATGCATGTATATTTCTAGTATGTTTTCTATTTTCAAGAATGTACCATGTGCAGATGAGAAGAATGTGTATTATGATATTGTAGGGTGGAACACTCTGTAGACATCTACTAATTCCATTTCTTCAAAAGTTTGGTTCAGGTCCGATAGTTCTTTATTAATTTTTTGTCTTAATTGATCTATTTGTGACATTGGGGTCTTGAGGTCCAGTCTGTTTATTTGTGACATTGGGGTACTGAGGTACAATTATATTAGTGCTTATTTTATTTTTCATGTTTGTTAATATTTGTTTTATATAGTTGGGTGCACTGGTATTTGGTACATATGTATTTATGATTATTATCTCTTCTTCTTGGATTGTTCCCTTTACAAGGATGTAGTGACCTTCGTCTCTTAATCAGTATTGGCTTGAAGTCCACTTTGTGTGCAAATAGAATAGCTAATCCTGCTTTTTTCTGGGTTACTGTGGGATGGGGTATTGTTTTCTATTCTTTGACTTTCAGTCTATGAAATTTTTTGAATTAAATGTGTTTCTTGTATGCAGCATATTGTTGGATCTTGCTTCTTGATCCATTCTGCCAGTCAATTTCTTTTCATTGGTGAATTGAGACCATTTACATTGATGGTTATAAGTGATGTATTGACTTATACTTGTCATGTTATTTTCCTATTGTGGGTTCCCTTTTTTTCCCTTCTGTTTAATTGCTTACCTTGCCTGGTAGATTCATTCTGTTAGAATTCATGCATTTCTAGGCCTCATTATATCTTCTACAATGTCTTTTAGAATATTTTGAAGTGATGGTTTGGTGGTCATGAATTTCTTTAGGTGTTCTATGTTATGGAAGTATCTTATTTCTCTATCGATTTTGAAAGATAGTTTTACGGGTACATCAATCTGGATTGGAGATTGTTTTTATTTAGGGCTTGAAATACTTGACTCCAAGATGTTCTTGACT